ACCTTACACCACAGGCCACCTGAATGAACTTTGTCACATGTGATTTCTGAATTCCTGCTTTCAGGGCTTGTGCTATCCCTTCTGTCTGAAGTGACCATCCCATTATTTCCCCAAATCCTGCCCATTCTTCAACCTGAATGCCACCTCTTCTCTTAAGCTTTCTTGTTCTGTGAGCTGACCTTATTCTAGCTTCCGATAACACTTTCTTTGTCTGTCTACTTCCGCTTCCTCGGGCTCTATCTGGGATCAGAGTTCTTTTATCTACCTGGCTATACTCCCCTGTGGAGCCTGAGCCAGCCCCCCGCCAAGGCACAGACCATGTCTGAGTAGAAAGTAATCTGTAAAAAATCAGGCTGTGGAGTCAGGTGAGGTTTGCTTGATTTCAGCGCTTTTGCTTACCTGCTATATGACTTTCGGCAAGATTTCCCATCTCTTCGGGACTCGGTTTCCTCGTCTGTGAAATGGGAATTATAAGAGTAATTTCTGCATGAGGTTGTGTTGAAAACTAACTGAGATGAAGCTTTGAGAGTGTTTAGAATAGAGCAAGTATATATAAAGTGCTCAATAAATGTTAGCTATTGTTATAAATCGTCATCTCTGTGTCCTCAGGCCAGATAAAGAATAGTGATCAGTAAAGTCTACTCAATGAATGAATAGATGGAAGGATGGATGGATGGATGGATGGGTGGATGAATACATGAGTAAAATTCAAAAGCCTGCATATAAGATCCTCTGCCCTATTGACAGAAAGTGCTAGATGCCCATGTGAGTGGCTTTGCATTGAAAAATGCCTGTGCCCTGGAAAAGCATGTTCCCTTGGGGACAGTTTCTGCCCTCACGGAGCTCTGTATATTATTATTCCTCTCTAGGGGAGTAAATTGATGTTTGGAGATTGTTTCAGAAATGCTTGTCTCGCAGGAACGTTCTGTGCTTCTATCCTTTACAGTAGATATTGGAAATCGAAACGTAGCCTCGTGCCTTTCACTCTGTCCCTGTCCTCCTGTAGAATGCTAAGAAACTTTATTTCCACTGGGCTTTGCTCTCTCCGTCCATTATAGTGGAATTCATCGATTGAAAGAAAGATTGGCGAATACTTGGAGACCAAGGAAAATATGAAAAATGACGACAGACAACAGATTGGTAGTTACCAGAGGTGAAGGTACAGCGTGTAAAGGGGTTAAATGTATCGTGACCGATGGAAGCGACTTTTGGCAGTGATCATGCTATAGTGTATACAGAGATCCGATTATAATGTACACTCGAAACTTACATAAAGGTATTAACCAATGTTACCTCGATAAAAAGAAAAGAAAAAGAAAAAAAATGAATGACAAATGCCAAGTTCTGTTCTGATTCCTCATTATGACATCCCTGCCCAACGAATGCAGTGTTCCTCGGTTCGCTGGGTCCATGACATTCATTAAAATGAGCATAAAATGAACAGGTGCAGGTCGAAGTAAAGGCAGGTGAGACGGGGTTTTGTAATATGGTGGGATGTATCGTTCTCATCTGAAATCACTGACAGCTTGTGTTGGAACTGGGCACCTAGCATCTTGCCTGATATACACTGGGTGTCGCATGAATATTGTTGAAGGATTGGACATTGTTGAATGAAAGGTAGAGTATAAAAAAATTAACACATAAATTGTTTTTTTTTTAATAAAATAAATGCGGAATAATTCTACCCCTTCTTTCTGCCTACCATGTTCCTGGTTCAACCTGGAACAGCGACTGGTTAGGTAGGCCCCACCACAGGGACCATGCCTGAACTTTGGTGCAAGGACCGTTTATGATCACCTCTGCTGGGCTCTTGGGTCTCATAGGCACATGACAGATTAGCTGGGCCAACTTTTCCCTTGTATACATCAAGCGACAGGGAGCTCACTACTTTAGAATCTTTGCTATGCTCTTTATCTATGCTGTGATCTTTGAATGTGCTGAAAACCTCTGCCTGTTGCATCAATAACAGATCTGGTACTAGAACCCGAACCTGTCTGTGATCCAAGTCTGAGCTCTGCCCTGGACTTGCCATTGGAAATTGGGCGATTCCTTTCCTTACGGTTCCCGTTTTGCTCAATGGCTGCTGTGCAAGGCTCTTCCAACTCATGCGTTCCAGGATTCTCTAGTGAGGTCTGATTATTCCTGGTAATACAGTGGTTCTCAAAGTGTGGCCCAAGAACCCCTAGGGGTCCCTTACACCCTTTCAAACTACATTTGTGCGGGAGGCAGGATTTTCTTCATATAGTACTTCAAGCAAACTGGCAGAACAAAACAGCCTGAGTGGAAGCAGCTATGGGAATGCAGCTTCTATTAAGCTAGACATGAAAGAGAATTGTGAAACATCTAAACCTGTGCCACGCTTCCCAGTAAATTTATTTTTGTTCTGGAAAATATTGTTATTCTTTCGTAAAATATACTGGAAATACGCTCTAAAGTATGTCATTTATGTTAAGATGTCTGATTTTAAGCATTTTTGAAAATGAATGAACGAATCAATCGCTATGCTTTAAATGTCTCGGTCTTACGTTCTAATACAGTACATAAGCGTACTGGTTATACCACATAAATAAGAAACTCATTAGTGTCTAAAAACTTTTAATAGTGTAAAGGGTGCTGAGAACAAACAGTTTGAGAACTGCCATTCTAGTAGGTCTCTGACTTTCTGTCTCATTCTGTACAGCCTCGTCCCTCCAGTGGTCCCAAACGTGACCCTTTCGATACGTAGCAGAAGGAAGATCACAATGACCTTGGGAGGGAGGCTGTCCTTCCTGACTCGTGGGTCTCAGCCACAGCAGGCTTCTCCCTACGTGAGTCCTTAGACTTCAGCCCGGACACCGCATCTTGGGCATCTGGTGAGGGTTAACATGGTAGCCTCCCTGCCCATGTGCCCACAGACTCCCAGCCCCTTCTGGTTCCACCTGCCCCTAATGTCTTCGACCCCGCAGGCCCTCCCCGACCCCTGGACTAGGAATTTTTGTCTTCATCCTCATGTTCCAGCCAGGGAAACTGAGGGCGCCAGAGATAGAGCCTTGCCTAAGGTGGTTACACAGCCCAACAGCCGACGGCCTTGGATTTGAACTCAGGTCTAGATGATACCGAATCGATGCTAGTCTTGCTTAACCAGAAGCAGGTACAGTGCGGGGCATCCAGGACAGGAGGAGGGAGCAAGGGAACTCATCTACTGAACACTTACTATGTGCCAAGCATGGCAGGTGTAAATGAGTGTCAGCTCATTCACTCTTAACAGTAGTCCCCTTACGAAAGCAGGGAACCCACAGTTTACAGATGAAGAAACGGGCTTCGAGAAGTGATGTGCCTCTCCTAAGGGCGCACAGCTAAAGACAGCAGAAGCACCATTCGAATCTATGTTCCCGCAGCCTCAGCTTCTTCGATAATAACACATAAAATTTATTGAGAACGTACTTTGTGCCAGGCACCGCGGTAAATGCTTTAACTCATATAATTTAAACTTTCCAACCAGGTAGGTGCTATACTTAGCCCCCCATTTTATGAATGGGGAAAATAAGGCAGTAACGAGGCCAAGGTCACCCAGTTAGAAGGTGGAAGAAAGAACTGGGATTTGAATCCAGACGGTCTCCCTCATCTACCTCCGAAGTTCATTGGCTAAACTGGCACGAGAGGCTCGGAAACGGAAACGGAAGTGGCCTCATCTCTTAGGCCAGAATGCTGTGCGCTATTGCTATGAACGCACAGCCACAGGCATAGCTGGTGTGCAGTTGGAGGTGGCTGTGACGGAGCTGTTGTCGTGCCTCTGGCTGATCGTCATCCTGACGGGGCCCAGCAGAATGGACTAGAGAGAAGGGGGAGGTCAAATATCGCCACCTCCCCAGGGTACAGATGGGGAAACTAAGGGCCACAGAGTAGGTTGTAAGCTGCGCCACAGGGATTTCTAGAGACCCTCAGGATGAACCTCTGGACCAAACCACTGATGAAGAGAGTCCTCAAAGATAAGGCAGAGGCCTGCTTGGGGCGGGCTTGGGACCCTCGGCTCCCCAGATGTGGCCCTTTGCCTGACCAGCTCGGATCTCTGACAGGGAAATGAGGCCAGGGGGAGTAAGTTATTCTGGGCTTTGCGATGACATGTGCGCCCCCAGAGACCCATGCCTGGCCTTTTGCCATGGAGTCTCTGGGAGCCTTCTGGCCTCCAGCCATGGCACCCTGCCTGCTGAGGCTTGGGACGGGAGGAACCACTGCTTCTTAGTGGCTTCCTGCCCAGAAAGACTCTAGAACTGCCTGATGCTAACTCTGAGAGAGAGCTGTGGTGCCCTGAGGCAGGGGGTTGGATGAAATGACTTTGAGGCCCAGGACTTCTGAGAGGAGCTGGGATTTTTGTCCGGAATGGAGAATGTTCCAGACTTGCCCTGTCCTTAACTCCAAACATGAGCCATACAACAGACTTGAGACTTAGCAACCTGTGACCCTGCCTCTCATTATACAAGCCAGGAAAACTGAGGCCCAGAAAAGGAGGGGCATCTCCGAGGTGCCAGCGTGAGTCACCAGGCCTGACCCAGGGCCTCGAACTTCCGGTCTGAGAAGGTTTCCTAAGGCCACAGCCTGGGGGCCGCCGACTGCCTTCACACCTGCCTGCGGCCCGCCTG